CCACCACACAGTCTCTGCATCTCCCAAGTGTGGAGCCAGCCTCAATGTGAATGTGAACAGATCACCCCATGTGCTCAGGAGTTCAGTCATGGGTGGAACCCTGTACACCTGGAACATGAGCAGAACCTCTGCATGTCCTGTCCGCTACAGGCCTGGGGAAACCGTGGAAAACGTGGAAGTGAGCAGCCCAGCTACATGCTGACCCTCTCAGGGATTTTTAGCCCTGTGTTCCAAGGAGGAAACTACGTGAGCTTTCTAAGTCTGCACCACCCCAGCTGGTGGTGGAGCTCTCTATATCCCTGGACTGGCTGGACCACATGGGTTTGGAATGAGGATTTCTCAGTGGTGTGGATGAGAGCAGAGCACTCCACATCCTATCCTCACTCCGTATGTGTGCAGCCCCTTATAATGCAGCTGTGAATGAGAGACCCAAGGTCCTGAGCACATCACTTGTGTGTGGGCCTCTAAAAAGGGAACACAGAAGCAAAGCCATTCCCCATGTCCTCTTCCTGTCTGGAGGGTGGGGACCCATAAAATGTGTGTGTGAACAGGAACCCCACCCACGTCCTCATGTCCTCAGACCTGTGTGGAGCCCTGTACAATGTGGATGTAAATAAGCTCCCTGGGTCATGATGACCAAACCCATCCATGGAGCCTTGTACAACTTGACTGTACATCCCTGCCCATGTCCTGACTACCTCAGACATATACAGAGCCCTCCACAATGTAAAGGGGACCAGAGCCCCACTCTTGTCTTAAGCACCTCAGGTGTGCAAGCAGCCCCTTACCAAGTGGGTGTTAGCAGAACCTCTCTCTGTCCTGAACAACTCAGGCACGCGTGGCGCCCTGCACACTGTGATTGTGAGCAGAGCCTCCCATGTCCTGATGACCTCAGGCATTGGTGGTGCCCTGGATGGCACGAATGTGAGCACAGCCCTGCCACACACTGACCATCCCAAGTATGTGTGGTGCTGCTACAACGAAGGTGTCAGCAGACCCCTTATTCCTTGGACAACTGCGTCAAGCTTCCAGCTTCTTCAAGGTAGAGGTGAAAAGGGGCTCACTACTTCCTGACCCTCTCAGCTATGTGCAAACCTTATGCTATGTGGACATGAGCCGAGCCATCCCTGTGTTGTGCTCATCTCATGCCTGCAGGGCCCTCTTCAACATGGAAAATGAACAGAGCAGGCCATTCTGTCTATGCCTCAGGCATGTGTGGATCCCTCTATGAGGAAATGGGTACAGCTCCACAGGCAGAAGCCTCAGGCTGTTGGGGAGCCCTGCTTAGTACTCTATGTGGCCTGAACGCTCTTCTGTCTGGACATATTCTAGCAGGGAAGAGCCCAGCCAGGCGGGGATCATTTCTCAAAGTATAGAGCCTAAGACAACGGGAAAGTGAACACACTTTCCATGCGCAAATATGTACTGTGATTTTGAGCACTCTCCAAGGACAATGGAAACACAGGCCCCTCGTCCTGAAACTCTGATACCCATGGAGACCTCTACAAAGCACTGTGAAAAACACACCACCACATCCTCCCAACCTCAGGGGTTGGTGAATCTTCTATAAAGGTCAGACGGAACAACCCCTCCTATGTCTTGACTACCTCTGGCCTCTGGGACGATATCCAATCTGGAGGAGGCCAGAGCATCCCATGTGTGGGCCACGTCAGGCTCGTGTGGAAGAATCCACTAGGGGAATGTGGACAGATGTCCCCACATACATCGTGACATCTGAAGAACATGGGGAGCCCTGTACAGTGTATCTGTGAGCTAGGCCCACCACCTACATTCCTGACACACATAGGCCTTTCCAAAGACCTGAGACACATGGATGTGAAGAGCGGCCCTCCATGTCCTGCCATCAGGGCATATGTGCTCTCTCTACACTAGGAGAGCACAAGCAAGCCAGCTCCGTCTCTGTCACATGTGGAGCCTGCTACCTTGGGCACAGGAAAGGAGCCCCAACTCCTTCTCACCATGCCGGAAGTGTGCAAAACCTGTGCAACATGGGTGTGACCAAGACGTGCACCTGTGGTGAGGATCCCACACATGATCAACACACAACAAAGATGTGATCAGAGTTACCAAAAGCTGGCAGCCCTCAGGCAAACACAAAATCGTCTACAAGGTGAGTGTTTACCCAACACCCTCCTGTCCTCTGCACACACACATGCATGCAAACACACGCTCACAATCTCTGTTGTGAGGCTCTGTCAAAATGAGAGGTGTGCATCGCCCTTTTGTGTCCTGAAAAACTCAGGCACATGTGAGGCCCTGAGGGACCATGTGAGCAGAGCCTCCGGGTCCTGCTGATCTGAATTATGTGCTAAATCCTCTATAACACGGATGTGAGTGGAACACCTTTCTCCTGACCTTCTCAGATGTGCATAGCCGAGGGCCATGCAAACGTGGCCTTGGCTTTTACCCAATGACAACTGAAGCCACCCACAGAAACCTCTGAACAATGACATGAGCAGCAGTGTGTCCCTGATCACATCTACAATATGCATGTGAGCAGGGCACACCATGTTCCAATTAACTCAGGCAAATGTGGAGCATCACACAACCAAAGTGTGAGCAGAACCTCAGTACCCTGAACTTCCCGGGTGTGCAAAGACACCTAGCAAATGTCGATGTGACCAGAATCTCCCGCATGTTGTGATTGTCTAATGTAGGACGCAGCTTGTATGATGTTCATATGAGGTGGGTCCCCTACGCAAGGATGAACTCAGGCATGTGTGGAACACTGTACAACCAGGATGTGAGAAGCCCCCTGGTACACATCATAGAGATGATCTGTGACCCATGTCACCCAGTATAATGAGGCTGAGAGCAGGGTGTCACACTGCCGTCGTTGTTGTACACATACACAGCAGGTCTCTATAACATCCTCATGGCCAGATGCCCATCACATTTCATCCATCTCGGGAATGTGGAGTCCTACCCATTGTGCAAGGAAGATGATAGCCTCATGTTCAGAAAATCACATGCATGAGCAGAATACTGAAGAAGATACATGTGAGAATTCACTGTGTACCTAATTCTAATTTGATCGTGATCCCTGTACAAAGTGGTTGTCACCTGAGATCCCCATGAACTTATTAAGTGGCTGTATCTGGGGTCCTGTCTGATATAAATGTGAGCAGGGCTGCCTGCATCCCCCTGACCTGTCACCCCTGCCTGAGGTGTGTGCAGAGCCTTGGACAATGTGAACCTGACCTGAACACCCACCATGTCCCCACCTGCTCAGAATTGTTGATGACTTCTGCAATGACCGTGAATCCAATCCCCAGGGTCACAGTGTGAAGTCTACAACAAAACTGTGAGCATAAACACTCCTGTTCTGACTATCTCAGCAAGGTGAGTGGCACTGCACAATACACATGGGAGCAGGGGCAACCCACCATGTCCTGACGACCCCAGGCACTGGTGGAGCCTTGTAATGTGGAAGTGCAGATTCTCCAGTTCTTGACCTACTCGGGTGTGTGGGCTCTTTACTAAATCAGGTAAAAAAGAGCCCAACATGTTGCACATGGAGCCAACACAAATGGTGCCCTATGCCAGGAGGATGCAAGCGACTCACCATTTTCCAAACAATGCAGGCCCATAGAAGCCTCTACAACATGGCTATGACCAGTGCCACCTCCCATGCCATCATCACACCTCACAACTTTGGAGCCCCTCCTCAACGGGAATGTGAACAGAGCACCCCACATCCTCAGGAGCCCAGTGGTTTGTGGAACTCTATACACTGGGAATGTGAGCAGCGCCTCCTCATGTCCTGTCAACCCCAGGCTTGTGTGGATCCCTAACAACATTGGCATGTGCAGCCCAAAATATGCTGACCACCTCAAGGGGTTGGAGTCCTCTGTTACATGGAGGAAGTGATCTCAGCTTTCTCTTCTAAGTCTGGACCATGTCAGCCAGTGGTAGATCCTCTACAACACGGATGTGAGCACTGCCCAGTGGTGTGACCACATTGGGTATGTGAATTCCTCAGAAGTGGGAATGAGAGAGGAGCACCCCACATCCCATCCACATTTTGCATGTGTGCAACTGTTTACAATGCAGCTGTGAATCAGAGGCCCCAGGTCCTAACCACATGTCCTGTATTTGGGCCTCTAAAAAGAGAACATGGAGCCATTCCCTGTGTCCTGATCCCATCTGGAAGGTGGGGCCCTATAAAATGTGTATGTGAACAGGAACCCAAGTCTATGTCCTGATGTCCTCAGACCTGTGTTTAGCCTTGTACGATGTGGATATACCTAGAGCTCCCCAGATTGTGACAACCAAGACTATTCACACAGCCCTGTACAACGTGACTGTAGGTAGAACTTCCCATAACCCACCATGTCCTGACTATATCAGGCATATGCAGAACCCTACATGATGTGAAAGTGACCAGAACACTACCCTTGTCTTAAGCATTGTACATGTGCAAGCACCCCTTATACTGTGGACCTGACCAGAGCGTCTTGCTGTCTGACCAGCTCAGGCATATGTGGTACCCTGCACAGTGTGACTGTGAGCAGAGCCTCCTCCATGTCCCGACAACCTCAGGCATTGGTTGTGCCCTGTTAACATGAACGTGAGCACAGCCCTTCCACACACTGACAGTCAAGGATATGTGTGGTCCTGATACCAGGTCAGCAGACCCCACATGCCCTGGACACCTGCATCATGCCTGGAGCCCTCTACAGGGTGGATGTGAGAAGAAGCCCACCATTCCCTGACCCTCTCAGGTAGGTGTGGTTGTGAGCAGAGGCATCCCAGTGTTGTGCTCCTCTTATGCATGTGGAGCCCTCTTCAACATGGAATATGAACAGAGCAGCCCATTTGTCCAACACCTCAGGTATGTTCGAACCCTCTACCAGGCAGGAGGCACAGTACCCCCACACAGAGCCAACCAACTCAGGCAGGTGGAGACATATACATCACTCTCTGTGGGCCGATCTCTCTCCTGTCTGGACAAATTCAGGGAAGGGTGCAGCCCAGCCAGGTGGTGATCATTTCTTGAAGCAAAGAGCCTAAGACAATGGGAAAGTGAACACACTTCCCTTGTGTAAACTGCTGTGGTTGAGAGCTCTCTCCAAGGGCAGAGGAAGCATGGCACCCACATCTTGAAACTTTCAGATTCCTATGGAGACCTCTACAATGTGCTGTGAGAAACATTTCACCCAATCCTTACACCCTTAGGTGTTTGGTAACCCTCTACAAAGTGACTTTGGGGACTGCCCCTCCCCATGTCCCTACTATATCAAGACTCTGTGTTGAGCCAATTTAGACCTGAATGTGGACATAGCACCCTGTATGCAGACCACGTCAGGCTCGTGTCAAAGAATCCACTAGGGGAGAGCGGATAGAGGCCTGCACATATGCTGTGACATCTGAAGAATGTGGGGAGTCCGGAAATGTAGATGTGAGCAGGGCCACCACACACACGTGCTGACACACTCAGTGAGTTGTGAAGAACTGAGCAATGTGCATGTGAAGAGCGGACCTCCAGGTCCTTTACGTCAGGGCATGTGTGGTCCCTCTACAGCAGGAGAGCGCAACCAAGGCAGCTCCGTCTCTGTCATATGTGGAACCCTCTACCTTGCAGACAGGACAGCAGCTCCACCTACTTTGACCATCTCAGAAGTGTGTGAACCCTCTGCAACACGGGTGCAACCCGATCCATGCACACATGTGTAGGTGAGTATGTGCACCTGTCCTGTATCCCCCAGACAGACACACACACACACACACACACACACACCATCTCAGGCAGGGATACAGCTCTGTACTAACTGAGAGGTAAGCAGTGCCCTCCTGCATCTGGATAAACTAAGACACATGCAGGGCCCTAAGGGAGGGTGTGAGCAGAGTCTCCATGTCCTGTAGACCTGAATTCTGTGCTGAATCATCTATAACATGGATGTGAGTAGAACCCCTTTCCCCTGATCTTCACAGATGTGTGTAGCCCAGGGTCACAAGGAGGATGTGGCCCAGGGCCTCCACGTCACGACAATTGAAGCCACCTAGAGAAACCTCTGAAATGATGACATGAGCAGCACCAACCCAGGTCCTGACCAGATCTGGAATATCCACGTCAGCAGTGCTCACGTGTTCTCAGGAGCTCGGGCAAGTTTGGAGCGCTGTACACCCAGGCTGTGAGTGGAAAGCCCCGGATCTCATCTGCTCAGTGAGTGAGGACACCTGGAAAATGTAGATGTGACAGGAATCTCACTCCATATCCTGATTGACTGTGGGTGGGGGGAGTGGTGCTCTTCATGATGTAGGTGTAAGTAGGTTCCTCCACACAGTAGGATGCACTCAGGCATGTTTGGAGCCCTGTATAACGAGGTTGTGAGCGGGCCCCTGCTGCAACCATCTGGGGCCCATGTTGCACTGGGCACGATATGAATGAGAGTGGAGCCCCCACCCTGTCCTCATTGCTGCAGGGACTTTTATCCAAGGCCCCTGTAACTGCCGTATAGCAAGGTCCCACCACATCTCCAACATTGCAGATGTGTGGAATCCTGTCCAATGTGCATGTGTGGTGATAGCGTCATGTACATAAAATCTCAGGCATGAGCAGATTCCTGGAAAACACGGACGTGAACACAACTCACCATGTATTTACTTTTCATTTCATCATGCTTCTTGTACAGTGTGCTTGTCACCTGAGATCCCCATGACCTCAACAACTAGCTGTGTATGGGGTCCTCTCTAATTTAAAAGTGAGCAGGCTGGCTGTATCCCCGAGCTGCCATCCCTGTGCACGTTCTACATGTGTGCAACTGTTTATAATGCTGGTGTGATTCAGAGACCACAGGTCCCAGCCACATCACCTGTGTTTGGGCTTCTAAAAAGAGAACATGGAGCCATTCCCCATGTCCTCATCCTGTCTGGAGGGAGGGGCCCTATAAAATGTGTGTGTGAACAGGAACCCAAGTCTATGTCCTGACGTCCTCAGACCTGTGTTTAGCCTTGTAGGATGTGGATGTACGTAGAGCTCTCCAGGTGGAGACCACCAAGACCATTCACACAGCTCTGTACAACGTGACTGTAAGTAGAACTTCCCATAACCCACCATGTCCTGACTATATCAGGCATATACAGAACCCTACACGATGTGAAAGTGACCAGAACCCTACCCTTGTCTTAAGAATTGTACATGTGCAAGCACCTCTTGTGGATGTGACCAGAGCGTCTTGCTGTCCTGACCAGCTCAGGCATATGTGGTTCCCTGCACACTGTGATGGTGAGCAGAGCCTCCTCCGTGTCCTGACAACCTCAGGCATTGGTGGTGCCCTGAAAACATGAACGTGAGCACAGCCCTGCCACACACTGACAGTAAAGGATATGTGTGGTCCTGATACAAGGTCAGCAGACCCCACATGCCCTGGACACCTGCATCATGCATGGAGCCCTCTACAGGGTGGATGTGAGAAGAGGCCCACCATTCCCTGACCCTCTCATGTAGCTGTGGATGTGAGCAGAGCCATCCCAGTGTTGTGCTCATCTCATACATGTGGAGCCCTCTTCAACATGAAATTTGAACAGAGCAGCCCATTTGCTCAACACCTCAGACCTTTGTGGAACCCTCTAGAAGGCATGGGGCACAGTACCCCGACAAATGCCGACCAACTCAGGCAGGTGGAGCCCTATACATCACTCTGTGGGCTGAGCCCTCTTCTATCTGGACAAATTCAGGCAGGGGTACAGCCCAGCCAGGTGGTGATCATTTCTGGAAGTGCAGAGCCTAAGATAATGGGAAAGTGAGCACACTTCCCTTGTGTAAACTGCTGTGATTGAGAGCCCTCTCCAAAGAGAGTAGAAGCACAGGCCCCTTGTCCTGAATCTCTCAGATTCCTATGGAGACCTCTACAATGTGCTGTGAGAAACGTCCCAATCCTTACACCCTTAGGTGTTTAGTAACCCTCTACAAAGTGACTTTGGGAACTGCCCCTCCCCATGTCCATACTGTATCAAAACTCTGTGTTGAGCCCACTTAGATCTGAATGTGGACAGAGCACCCCGTATGCAGACCACCTCAGGTTCGTGTCAAAGAATCCAGTAGGGGAGAGTGGACAGAGGCCCCCACATACAATGTGACGTCTGAAGAACGTGGGGAGCCTGAAAATGTGGATGTGAGCAGGGCCACTACACACACGTCCTGACACACTCAGTGAGTTATGAAGACCTCAGCCACATGGATGTGAAGAGTGACCCTCCATGTCCTGCATGTCAGGGCATGTGTGGTCCCTCTACAATAGGGGAGTGCAACCTAGGCAGCTCCATCTCTGTCATATGTGGAGCCCTCTACCTCGTAGACAAGACAGGAGCCCCACCTACTTCTGACCATCTCAGAAGTGTGTGAACTGTCTGCAACATGGGTGTGACTGGAGCCATACACCTGTGGTGAAGATCATGTGTATGTGTAGTGGTCTCAATAACAAGGGTGTGAACACAGCCACCAATATCCTGAATCCCTGAGACATGTGTAGAACCATCTGCAAGATATGTACCAAAGACACCCTATCCCCCACACCCTGCCACACACATGCACTCCATCTCAGGCAGGTGTTCACCCTTGTACAAGGAGGATGTGACCAAACCCCTGGCTTCCCTTATACTATCAATGGCCCGAGTGGCACCTGATACAATGTGGATAAGAGTGTAACTCCACTTTGCTCTCATTCATATAGGGATATATTTGAGGTCTCTATAATGTCCACACAGATCTCCACCTCATATCTACAAGCGCAGGTATGTGGAATCCTTCCCACCCCACATGTGAGGTGATGCACTCTTATAGAGAAAATCTCACGTATGAGCCCATCCTGGACAACATGGACTTGAACACAATTCCTCATGTACCCACCCCTAATTCAGTTGTAATCCTTGCACAATGTGGTTGTCACCTTAGATCCCCATAACCTCATAACTGGCTGTATGTGGGGCCCTCTCTGATATAAATGTGAGCAGAGCTGCCTGCATCCCCCTGACCTGTCACCCCTGTCCAAGGTATGTAGAGAACCTTGTACAATGTGAACCTGACCTGAACAACCAATATGTCCCCACCTGCCCACACTTATCTTAATTCTTGTCCAACGTCACTGTAAGTTCAGCCTCCTGAGGATGTAGTCTACCACAAGGTTGGAGAATAAACACCCCTGTCCTGACCATCTTAGCAAGGTGTGTACACTGCACAATACACACATGGGCAGGGGCACCCCACCACGTCTTGACGACCTCAGGCACTGGTGGAGCCCCAGAGAATGTGGAAGTGCAGAGAGATCCTGCATTGTTTGACCAACTTGGGTGTGTTGGACTTTTACCAAGTCAATTAGAACAGAACACTGACATGTTATATGTATCACCATCATGAATGGAGCCCTGTCCTTAGAGGACACAGCAAGAGATGCACCATTTCCCAAGCAATGCAGGCCTCTGGAAACTTCTACAACATGGCTACAACAAGTGCCACCTGCCATGCCATCATCATGTCTTACCGGTGTGGAGCCCTCCTCAGTGTGAATGTGAACAGAGCACCCCACATCCTCAGGAGCTCAGTCGTGGGTGGGACTCTGTACACCTGGAATGTGAGCAGAGACTCTCCATGTCCTGTCAACTACTGGCTGTGTGCCACCCTCTCTGACTAGAATGTCAGCAGATCCTCATTTCTTGACAACACAGGGCATGTGTGGAGGCCTGGACATGGACATGAACAGTTCAATTACATCCTGACCAACTCAGGGGTCTGGAGCCCTCTGTTACAAGAGAAGTGACCACGCTTTCTAATTCTGGACTATGTAAGATGGTGGTGGAGCCCTCTACATGAATGTGAGCACTGCTCCATTGGAGTGACCATGTAAGGTATGTGAGTTTCTCAGGAGTGGGGATGACAGCAGCGCATCCCACATTCCATCCTTGCTTCACATGTGTGCAGCCCTTTATAATGCAGCTGTGAATCAGAGGTCCTGGGTCCTGACCACATTACTTGTCTGTGGGCTTCTCAAAAGAGAACATGGAAACAGAGCCATTCCGTGTGTCCTCATCCTGTCTGGAGGGTGGGGACCCATAAAATGTGTATGTGAACAGGAACCCCACCCACGTCCTCATGTCCTCAGACCTGTGTGGAGCCCTGTAGAGTGTGGATGTAAATAAGCTCCCTGGGTCGTGACCACCAACCCCATCCATGGAGCCCTGTACAACTTGATTGTAAGCAGAACCCCACCCCCGCCCATGTCCTGACTACCTCAGGCATATACAGAGCCCTCCACAATGTGAACGGGAATCAAGCCCCACTCGTCTTAAGCACCTCAGGTGTGCAAGCAGCCCCTTACTAAGCCTCTCTCTGTCTTGACCAATTCAGGCACATGTGGCAACCTGCACACTGTGATTGTGAGCAGAGCAGAGCCATGTCCTGATGACCTCAGGCATTGGTGGTGGCCTGGACAGCAGGAATGTAGGGAGCCTTGGGCAATGTAGATGTTTGAAGCTTCAATCCCAAACCAACAGCACAAGGTCCTTCAAACTTGGGCATTTATAAAGAGCTCAACAACACAGATGTGAAGTGCGGCCCTCCATGTCCTGCCAATTCAGGGCATGTGTAGTCCCTGAACAATAGAAAAGTGAGTAGAACACTCACATATCATATACACCTCTGTCTCAAATGGGAGCCCTCAACCTTGAGGATGGGACAGTAGTCCCACCGATCCTGATCATCTCAGGAGTGTGGAAACCCTCTACATGGATGTGACCAGAGCCATGCCTGAGTGGTGGTCATCTCATGCATATGTGGAGCCCTCAACCATGTGGATGTGAACACAGCAACACATGTCCTAACCACCAAAGGTATATGTGTGACCTTCTACAAGGTGTGAGCAAAGCACCCTTTACCCAACCCCATGCCCACCATCTCAGGCAGTTGTGTAGCACTGCAGAAAACTAGGTGTGAGCAGAGCCCTCCTGTGTCCTGACAAACTCAGGCATTTGTGGGGCCCTGTAGAAAGATGTGAACAAAGCCACCAATTGTGCGCAGAACCTCTACAACATGTGAGTACAGCACCTTTCTCCTCACCTTCTCAGGTGTGCAGCACCTGTGGTTACAAGATGTGACCAGTCTTCCATGTCATGACAACTGGAGCTATGTGTGAAGGTCTCTAAAATGATGTGAACAGAGCTATCCACGTTTTGACCAACTCTGGTATGTAGAGCCTTCTGTAATATGGATGTAAGCAGAGCACCCCATGTCCTGATAAGCTCCAGTGTGAGTGGAGGGCTGTACAACATGAACATGACCATAGCCCCATGACCCAACCACATCCAGTGTGTGCAGAACCCTAACGAGGTAGACGTGAGCAGACCCGCCCCCATAGCCCAGCCACCTCAGCTGCCCTGTATGTAGTTCTGCGCTCTGTAGATAGAAACAGTACCCTCCTCCCCCAACATCTGACCACGTCATCCACATTTGGAGCCTCTATAATGTGGATGTTCAGAGCCCTCCCAGTCCTGACCATTTCAGGTATGTGGAACCCTCTAGAAAATTGGTATAGCCAGAGTCCCTCCACCCTCATATTCTGGCCACCTTAGCTTTGTGTGCAAGAGCCCTCTACAATGTGAGCACAGGTCTGGTGCGGACCAGCCATCTAATGAGTTCAGAGCTCCTAGTTCTTGACCATCTTAGTGTGTTGGTTCCTCTATAACATGGATATGAGCAGAACTTGTGTCTTGAATACTTCAGGTGTGTGTGGACCCCTTTACAAGGTCAATGTGAGCAGAGTGCCCCCACTTCAAATGTCTGGCCATCTCGTGTGTATGTTGACTCCTGTAAAACAAGAATGTGAGTAGAGCCCCCCACATCCTGGCCATCACAGGCATGTGTGGAGTGCTCTACAACACAGATGTGAGCAGAGACACCTCCCTACGTCTAACCATCTCGTGTGTGCATTTAAGTAGAAACCACTGTGTCCTCACCACGTCAGGTCTGCAGATCCTTCTGCAACATGCCTGTGAACAGAGGTCGTGACATCACGTTTGCGGATCCCCCTACAACATGGAAGTGAATGGAGTGCCCCTGCTCCATCTCCTAGCTATGTGAGGTATGTGTGGAAGACTGTGTCAAAAGGATATGAGCTGTCCCCAAGGCTGACCACCTCAGGTATGGGCAGAGCTCTTGGCAAGGTGGATGTGAGCAGAATCTCCAAGTCTGTCAGTAGAGAGAGATCAAAGGATGACATAAAGTAAATGAAAAGTAAACAACCTCTGTGAACCAAACTTAGTTAACTTACCTCACAGTGTAAGCTCTGACTGCTTTATTCTCCTTGTGTAACATGGTATGTTTGTATATTTTTATACCATTTCAGCAAAATCAAGGAAATCCACACTCATCTGGGCAGTCAACTCAGGACCAAAGTGAGACCAGCTTTCCTGTTACACTTAAGACACTGCAAAGCTCAGAGAATGTCCAAGATCCTGACTCTAGATTTTGTAGGAATGTAAGGTATTTCAGCCATTGATCCATTGCAGAACCCATCTTTTGTGTTTAGACTAGGCTTACTGCATAGAAGGAATTTGTAAGGTTAATTGAAGACAGCCTTTTGCACACTATCAACCTATAGAGCCAAAGCAAGACTGACGGGCGGGATGGACACATGCTGCACAGGACACTGCCAACCCTGATGATTCCAGCCAAGGCTTTTGGTGACATCTTGTGAAAACATTTGATATTGCAGCCCACACACCTGAAGCAGCACCATGCAGGCTATCCACTACACCCTGGACATGGGACACAAGCCTGGTTCTGGGCCCTGTGCAGAGACAAGCTGGATGTGCCAGCCACAGCACAACTCAAAAAAAGAGAAGCACCAAGACAGGGAAAGATGCGACTTCTCACGCCTGACTCTCTGTTTGCTGTAGGGAGGTCTTGCTGAAACTTACATTACTCACATGCCTGAAAATATGCACCACAGAGAGGTAACACCTGCTGATAAGGGTGTGGGGCAACTGACAGAGCCAAGTGTGACTTTTTGAACTTGGTATAACATGTGCCCCCTTCCAGGACAGTGATTACAACTGGGAGACCACACAGGACCATCATCCAGCAGAAAGACCAACGTGTTGGCCATGGAACACCACGCAGCAGTCTATAAGCAGACTCCTTAGGCCAGCAGAAGACACCCACAGCAGCCAGAGGAAGAAGCAAGCAGTAGAGACACAGGGCACGACCTTAGTGTTCTAAAAACACATTGTTAGAAATGCACAGAAATTTCTGGGTTCAAAGGACAGTAGGACTTATTTTCAAGGAGCAGGACTGAGAAGCAGACTTTTACATATCTAACTTAGGCCCTTCTGGGTTATCCAAATGTCTACTAACCAAGTGCCTAAGGAAAAATACCAAGTGATTTGAAGTTCTCAGCAGAAAACTCAAGCTGCACACTAAAAGAGTTCAGATAAATGTGAGGATGGAGAAATGAACATGGGGTCAGCTGTGGAATCTTCAATTTACAGTGTCACATGAGAAAGTCTGAGCCAGGTATCACAGTGCACGCCCATCATCCTAGCACTCAGGAGGCTGAAGCAGGAGGATTTTGAGTTTGAGGTCAGACTGGCCACATTGTGAGAACCTATCTCCAAAAGCCAAAAAAAAAAGAAAAAATTTTTAGATTTTTAGAATATTTCAGATTAGGGATATTCCATCTGTGATGCTTTGTTCTTTAGGTTAGAATCTCTTGAACAGTGTCATTCAACAGAAATGTAACACAAGCCATCCCCCTGACTTTTAAAATCTCAAGAAGCCACAGTTAAATAAAAAAGCAGGTGAAATTAATGTGTTTTATTAACTCATTGTATCTAAAACAGTAAGTATCATTTCAACATGTAAACAATATTTTAACAATCCTATTTACTTTCTTAGTATTGTCTGAAAATTCTAGTGTGTTATTTTTAATTAGGATACATCTCAATTTGGACATTACATTTTCATCAGAAATGCCTGTTCTGTATTTAGATTTTTTAAAATTTAGTTATAGGGCTGGAGATAGAGCTCAATGATAGACCACATGCTTAGTATATGCAAGGCTGGGTTCCATCCCTAGCACCAAAAACATAAAAACTGCGACAAATTCATATATCCAGGGTAGATTCAGACTCCAGTTCCTAACACACAGAAGTATTCTAACAACTGAACTGAGCAGTTTTTAAACAAGTAAAATTAAAGATTTAGTTGTCCTGCCTGTGCTTCAAGTACCCACTGCTTGAATGGCTAACAGTAGCTGTGCTGGAGAGATGTGCAGAATAGTGGTCTGCCCAAGTGAGGCCCCAGACCTGCAGGACAACCTGGGACTGGACCCAAATGCAAATCTGAGTCCACTTAGACCTACATCCGACATGCAGGGGTGGGCCCAGCACTCTGGGAAGAGCCCAGTGTTGCTCTGATTGATGTGTGTTAGTGCCTGAGAGTGACCAGCCTAGATCAAGTACCACTAAACAAGGCAGCATGGAAACAGTTTCAACCCTTTGTGTGGAATGTAACTGAGCCCTTTCCCCCATTATAATTAGAGGCTATGAAACCAGAAGAAAAGGTAATTTGCTAGGACTTTTAGGCCAGGTGCAGTAAACTGTCTCAATGGGAAGTCCGGATGGTGTGGCTGGTCTGTAGGTTTAGGATCAGGACCAACTGGTACCACCCTGTTTCACCTCAGCCTTGACTGCCAAGGGCCTGAGAAACAAGAGGACTCGACTCATACTAAACCTAATGCTGGTGTCTGTGTCACCACGTCTCCTAGAATGTGGGCCTTCCTGATGAGGAACAGGTTCACCATTCAAACCTCGAGATTGTGGGCTACCTACCCCAGCTTGCCCCTTGCCCCTCTCCCTCCCCACTCCTTGGGTTTTCTGCTCTTCCAAACCATCAAACCAGCCCCATGCCCTCTCCCTTCTTCATAGTTTTAAGTCACTTCTGGAAGTTTCCATCATTTCAACACCAGACAGAGCTTCATCTTGATCTGCTACCACCTTGTAACTTTGTTCTTGGAGTTGAAACCAAAGCCAGACACAAGTGAGCTGTCTCAGGGCCAGTTCTAGAAGCTGCTGTGGCAGAAGCAGCATGCAGCAGTCCTAATACACACCTCTCTCAAGAGTGTCCCAGCACCATGGAATCAGAAATGGGACACAGGATTGACTCACCTTCTCTCCAGGACCTTAAGTGGCCAGAGGGCCGACCTAGACAAGGACCCAAATAAGGCAAGGAGGTTCCTTCCTTCCTTGGACTCAAACGGATCACTCACTACAGATGCTGCATGGAGAAGATCCCAGAGCTCTGGCCAGCTGTCTGGTGTTTAAGGGACAGAATCTTCAGAAGACTGGGTCCTGAACTGACCAAGTCCAGGGCAGAGCTGCTGCTGATCTGGCTCACTTGGATCCTCTGCTCTTGAAGCTACTTGATTTCATCATTATGGAGACATAATGTAGGAGTATCACTTAATATTCCCCTCAAATTTGTATGTATCAATGAAGTTTTAATGAAAAACTGTTCCCCAGGAGAAGCACTAGAGCATCCATCACGTGCAAAGCTGGAACAGTGCAGAGACAACCTGATACACCTTATGCACAAAGTCCCCTCATCGCTTCACTTTCCACCTGGAAGAGACAGAAGTGCACCTGTTTAGACACTTAGAAGTGGCCTACCATACAGAAAGATCTTGGGGGCCACAAGACTCACTTCAGAAGCAGCAGACACGATCAGGAGCTGGAATGGACAGCACTTGGAATTCAGGAGTCCCGCATTGTCCTTGCATCATACAGTCAGCTACTAAGCGCACCCCGACTACTGGGCATAGTGCCTCACCCAACATAACCACAGCTATACTCATTCATGCATGCCCCTGAGACTCACCTGAGTCGCTGGGCCAGCCAACTGGAAGACAGGGCATTTAGAGCTCCTGATGGCTTAGACTCAGAAGTTCTTGTGGCCTGACCCCTGCACAGAAAAGTCAGTGTTCGGTCAGTCCCAACAGGTGCACCAAGAAAGCCCATTCCAGCTACACAGCCAGGCAGTTGACCCCAGGCTGGTTCAGGTATGGACAACATGAGAAGCAACAGAAAACAGTTAAAAGGTAACTTATCCTTCCGTTTTCATTCACCAGAAAATTGGGGCAAATGTTTCCACTGCTTGATAAAGGTACTAGAGTTATGGACTGAATTAATGTTCTACCAAAGGACATGCTGGGGTCCTGATCCCTGGGGACTCAGAATAGACCTGATCTGGAGTCAGGGCCTTTGGAAGTGACTAAGCTTCAAAGAGGTCATCAGAAGGGCAATGGAAGGGGAAGAGGCGACCTAAGAGTTGCACAGAGTGAAGGCCATAGGAAGACGATGATAAAGATCAGGTCTGTGTCCCATGTCGAAGCTCACTAAAGCAGCCAGCAAACCACAGGAAGGTGGGCAGGCCCCTCCCTTCAGGCCTCTGAGAGAGACAATCTGCCCATAGTTGGACTTCAGCCCAAGTCGCTCTTGTTGAAGTTACTTTCTATGGTGTTTTGTCACAGTAGCTACAAGAACTAATACAAGCAGACTCCAACTTTAACTTAAAATCTGATTTTATTATACCCGCCTCTCTACAGTAGATACTTAGGATCAACTTAGTGCAGATGATGCTTGAAGTTGTTCCCCACCCTGGCCCAGATTTCAAACCAGTTCTTGGGCATGGTACCACTTGCCAGCTCAGCTGCAGCCAGGAACCATCCTCACCCTGCTCTGCTGGCAGGGCAGCTCTCAGCCCTGCAACCATGGTCCAGAGGGTGTCTGTGCTGAATGCAAAAGTTGCCATGACACTGTACACAAGCCAGCTGCAGCATCTCCTTCTTCCTGCATCCCTCCTTTGAGCACCGGAATGTGAAGACCTGAGAGGGCAGTCATGTCAGTAGGTGTTTTGTTTTGTTTTTTGGTACTGGGGATCGAATTCAGGACCTCGCCCTTACCAGGCAGGTGCTATGCCCCTGACCTAAATCCCCAGCCCTGTCAGTAGGTGTTCTTTACCAGCCCCAACCAGACCACTCACATTCAAGCTAGACACAGGTGTTAGCTACACAGAATGAAGCTGTCAGGTTCCATTCAGACACCTTACTGCCAGAATGCTGATTAAGACAGCAAGGTTGGGGACTCACAAGAAGGTAGACCAGAGCTGTCCCTGAAGACTAAGAAGAAAAGGACCTCAGGGGAGGTAGGAAGCCAGGTAGGGGCATAACAAGCCCATAAAACAGAGGGTAGATGGCTCCGGGGAACTCTGAGGTCAGCAGGGGTTGCCTGCACTAGGAGCAAAGGAGCTAGAACATCTATTCCCCAAAACACTAGTCATGGATGGTTTTGGAGGGAGGGGCAGATGTTGACATAAATTCTGGGCACTTCTGACTGTGAATTAAGGAGACATGTGTATGTTAGGGGAGAGGGGTTGTGCAGCAACCTGGGGATAGCAGGTAGCATAAAGGCCAGGATGGAACAGGAACAGAAGATGGAGGTGGTGGTTCTGAGTTGAGCCAAGAGTGAAGGTCACACTTCTCCAACATGGTGAAGGGCAGCAGGCCAGGGGTGCTGCACAGAAGTGTCCAGGGCAAGGAAGGGAGCTAGATATGCATTCCCACAGAGGGGAGGAATAGGCAGTCCCTCCTTGGAGTGTGAAGTTGGAAACAGAAAGAGTTAATGGGCCTTACATTTAGGGTAATTTATGCTTTTATGTGACTGCTATGGTATTTTAATGAAACCTACTGGTTAAGATAGTTGGTAACTACAAACTAGGCTCTATGACTAGAAACTGATTTTAAATGTGACAAACATCAGTTCCCTAGAAGAAAAGTTTTTTTCCTGTTTTGCTTTTTGCAGTACTAGGGATGGAACTCCGGGTCTCATGCACATTAGGCAAGCGCTCACCACTGAGCAACCTCCCCCACTCCATGTGGTTATTTTAATGAATTAGACCAGGGAGAGAGACAGAAAGATACAAAACACAGATACCCAAATGCCCCTAACCTGAGAAAAACCTGAATAAACCTCCCAGTGGGCAGCAAGAGCTGTGAGGGCTACTGTCTATAGAGGGCTCCCTGCTGCCAGGCACTTTGGACACCTGGCTGAGGAAAGGGTGTGCAGACACGTGCTGGTTTTGCCCATGAAACCCCATAAAAGTGACAAAAGAAATTCTTTGAAGGGATAAACCCACAAGTGCAAAGAATTTAAAAAAAACAAAAACCTACAGCCGTAAGATTTTAGCAAGTGAAAAGCACGAAGACGAGTAGTAATGGGGTTGGAAAGTAAGAAAGACACCAGCTTCGAGGCAGGAGGCCACAAAGCACCCCCACCATGAGAAGAAACCTCAAAGGCCCACAGTGAGGCTCATAGAACCCAGGGGAGCAGGACATTGCAAGAGTGGCTGCACCTTCTCCCCAGCATCGGCAGAGGCAGGTTGAGAGGCTGCTGTGCTGGCCTGGGGAGTAAGTCTGGGGGCAGGAGGCACACTCTACAGTTGGGGTGGGAGTGGAGCAGCAGGCTCAGGTGCCATGCAGACCTCTAGCTGCTGCTCCAGCTTGGCCAGGACAGAGCAGGTATTGCGGGGGAGGGACATTTTCTCTGGAAAATATTATCAGCCCCCCTAAAAATGGGTCTCAGAGGCCTCCTGAGGGAGTGAACCAGGAAAACGACCCACAGAATAGGTGGAATCCACTCTGCACTTTCTGAGCAGGTAGCTCTAGAGTAGGCATAGGAGAACAACCTTTACTAAGAAACCCAAAAAAGGCAGGTAAGGAAATAAGACTGGGGCAGATCATAGTGGACAGGGAAGAGAAACAAGAACCCAGAGAGTAGGCTGGGGATTTAGCTCAGTGGTTCCACCACCTGCCTCCCAAGTGCAAGGACCCCAATTTGATTCCTGGTACCAGAAAAAAAAAAAAAAAGAATCCAGAGAGTAGTGCAGGAAGTGGAGAGAACCAGAAATAGAGAGAACATTCCAGAACCCCAGGGCTGGAGTTACCAGTGGGAAGGTCCATTATGTATTTAGCATACACAAGATCCTCCTAGCTTGGCCAAGGCCAGGATGTGAATTCCTTAAACCAAGAGCAAGTAGAAGAAATGAGCCATGCCACCCAACACTGATGGCAGCACAGCGGGACCTTCACTCTAAGGTGATAAGCTTAGTCTGGGGGAAAGTGGAGAACAAAAACATCGGAAAACACATGCCCTCCATTTATCTCCCAGCCTCCCTCAAGAAGCAACCATAAGTGTGTGCCCAACATAGGGAATAAGTTAAGGAAACACAAGATAAGGGAAACTGGATCTACAGTGAGGCAACATGTGAAACCCAGATCTACTGGAAAAGCAGCAAAGGGACTCTCAGGGCTGTTTTCCTCATGGCGAGAGGGCTGGAAACGCATTCCAGCACCCTCTAACTCAACTGCAGGAGGGGCTGGAAGAGAGTGTGTTGAGAGCATCAGGACAGCAGGTAACAACTACATCTTCAGTGCACACTGTGGCGAATAGGCAACAGATAAAAAGAGCAAGCAAGACATGGTAAGGATGGGACACACACATCGGCAGATAAGCAAGAAAGATGGGGCATGACCACCAGAGAATAGGGACCTAACATACTTTACTCCAAGTAAACAGATAAACAACTCCGATAAAAGTACAGATGCAGGGCCAGGGAAATAGCGCAGAGGTGCCACACCTTCCTGGCAAGAGCAAGATCCTAAGTTTGATCCCCAGTACCAAAAATAAAATAAAAATACAAATGCTACCGACACAAGAAGATGGACTTCTGAATTTTATATCCTCTTACCTGCTCCTGGGAGCTTAAAAAATAAATGTACATTAATGAAAAGGTTCTGGAAAGCCTCATTCTCTACCTCAGGGAAAACACTGGTGGCCAGCAGTATAGGGTAAAGAAGACCCTAAGCCAGGACTCTCCTGTGTAGGGACTCTGTTTCCATAACTAGAAACTCAAGCTCTCATAACACAGGAAAACGACGACTTATCATTAAGGCCTTTCCTTTGTACATAAGTTAGAAATTAACCTTTATTCCCCGGGGAAAACAACCAACATTCACAGGTCACAGAAGTGACCTGAAACATGTCCTTACCTTCCCCTTCTTCTTCCCAGGATGAATTGTACAGTCTCTGTCCATGTGCTCACCAACCACCACATCTGGTATTGCTCCCTTTTTTATGGGGATGGGTATGTTACAGAGCGGACACACGGGGACCTGGACATCCTAAATGTAAGACAATACAGTATTTAAGATTCAGACAATGAAACCTCACATATGGACAGGTGAGACAGTACGGGGCATATGAACACAAGCAGAACACAAAAACTGATGTCCCAACCACCAGGAGAATCTGGCAGTTGGGACAACGGAGCAACAAGGGAAAGCACCCTCCAGAGGACCTGAGTAGAATCTAAATGTAAAGAACTGAGGAAGACGTGCCAGGAAAGGAAGCTGGTGAAATCAAACAGCATCTCAGGACAGCAGGGCTGTGTGTCCAGCACACGTAGGTGAGAAGACCACCTATCTAATACCTTCAAAGGGAAAAGAGAGGAGAAAACACTGACATGAGGATCCTCCAGCTTACTTCAATTGCTAGCCTTCTCCCCGATTCTTTGGTGGCTTCCCACATGCCTTTTATACACAGGGAGGTTCCCTTCTCAGTGGACAGGGGAGCACTGGGTACATAACAACCATCCTGACTGCAAGCCTGAGACCAGAGGGCTCTGGAGGGAGTGATGTGGCGCCCAGCAAGGAGGGTTCAAATCCTGAGCCAGGACCGGAGCTGAGGGAACAGGCCACAAGGAAAGTGAGGTGGCAGCTGGCATCGGATGGATGGCAGTTAACACAGAAGTGTGAGCTCTCTGTGGGTGGAGCTAGAGGGGTCACAGAGTGGTGGTCCTTCTATTGACAAGTCCACCCCTTGAGAAATAAAGCATTCCTAGGTGACCTCTAGCCAGATTTTCCCAATGCAGGGATGTGGGACAGTGCCATCGACATAAACAGTGTAGCTGGCCTAGCCATCAGGGCCTGGTAAATGTGGGGACTGTGAGTCACTCTCCCCACCCACCCTGATGACCTAAACTGAGGGCAAAGGGGCAGAACATGGCCAGTTCTGGTCAGAGCATGTGATGCTCAGTCATCTACCCACCCCATCTGCTGCCAGGTGAAGTGTCAGAGTTCACTGACATAATCTGTGAACCATCGAGAAACAAAGTGAGAGCAAGGGGCTAAGCGGCCCCCTGAAAAGCCAACAGAGAAAGTGAAACTTGAGAGGCAGTTTTCTTACTGGCGCCATCCAGATGCTACCATGTACAACCCAGACCAGCCTCTGATATATCAAGGCCACAAAGCACTTTTAACACCTTCCTGACTAGTCCTGAAACATTCCTTACACCCCATAAAGATACAGCTGCGTTATCCTTGGTGCAAATGGATCAAAGAAACAAAGAATGTAATAAGGGAAGAGAGCTCTGAATGTTAGGTTGTATGACAATAAAAGTGAAGACAGTTTTTTGGGAGTAAAATTTCCCTGTGAGCCTCCCATCCAATAGCTGCTACAGTCTGCCACCAGACATGAGTCCAGTCTCTAACTTCCAGATAAAAAGCACCATCTGCCAAGAACATGCTTGTAAGACCACTGACTCTGCTGATTTCCAAACTGAGGGTGAGGGATTCCTGCTGACTTGCTGACAGTTCCAGAAGACTTACTGCTTCCTGATGACCCCTAGCAAACCATCAGGGACAGCTTAATGTATGAACAGACCCCCAGCACCAATCTAAATTCTTTCCAAACAACATGTACAACTAACAGGGCCAAATGAAAAAGTTAAAAGAAATTATTTCACCTTACCACATTCCACACTCCCCCTTTTCTCTTTAAAAACTTACTCCTCTTACCCTTGCCAGAACACTTGCTTGGTTTCTAACTAAACCTGTGTCTCCTGATTTGCAAATCCATTCTGTACCTAAACAAAAACTCTCTTTTAACCAATTTATGATCTCATGATTCACAGTTACAATTTGATTCTTCAAGTCTTAAAAAAATCTCAATAGCTTTAGAGTAGCACTAACAGAATATCCTGAGATGGAAGAAATGTTCCTTAATCATGTTGTTCCATACAGTGGTCAGTGGTCACACAACATTTGAAATATAGCTAGTTTGGTTAAAAAATTGGATTTTAAATCTTATTTAATTCTCATTAAGTAGCCGGCTATGGTTAGCATCTATTATAGTGACTGGTACAACTTTACACTGCAGATAAGAACGTTCTGAACAGAATAAGTAAGGTTAATTACCTTTTTGAATGCAAAGGGACACTTATGGCCAGCATAGGTAAAATGATCTTTACAGAAATCTTGTTCACATGCATCACATTTTAGTGGAAGAAAATCTATAAATAAATAAATAAATAAATAAATGTAAAAAGTCTGTTAAAGGTTAGGAGAAAAACACTACAGATCATGTTAAGCAAGTCTTTATACTAAATGCTTCATCACAAGTGAAAAACAACTTCAGGGTTATGAATTTAACCATACCCAATGACATTTAAGGATCTATAAAGCTATCTTTTCAAGACAGATCCCACTTCATACAGCATCACAATCATTTATCCAGTGCACTTGTATCCACTTAGCCCAAGAGGCCAACCTGGTGCCCAGCCTTAGGTAAATACTAAACATCAATGCCCCCCGCACCAGAGCCCCAGTACTGAAAGCCTAGAAAGGCCAAGACAAAGTTATTAGCTAATTAATGGAATGGCTAGCTCTCCCCAACAAATTTGCCAACAAAATACTATTTCCATTAATATATATTCTCTTAAACATGCTTACCTAGTTGCTTGCAAGTTTTTTCTGAACAATGCTTCCCCAAATCAGGAAACTCCATTATGAAAACAGTGTTCACAACACAGGTGGCAGTTAAATATTGCCTATGAGAATTAGAAGAATTAGAAGGTGACTCAGCAATGACAGCCAGGACTAGTCCCCAGGACTTATAACCTTTTCAGCTAATGAGAGCAGACACCCTCTACTGGGAACATTAAAAGACCTAGTCATCCTGGGCCTTTGTGCAAAACTGAGGTATCACAAGTTCTTGTTGACTTTCAGCAAACAAAAAAAATGGGAGTTTCAGCACAAAACCCACTAAGATAGATGAGTTGCTGTCTTCATTGTTCTTTTAACCCCTAGTTAGTTTATAAAGCTCACCCCGACTTCTAGGTTTTCACTAAACCACACTCACCCATACTAAAAGGGGTTTCCCATATTCAATTCACAGAGCTGCTAGGAAAAATTACAATCTATAGATATTAAGTCACAATTTATTTACAGAATATACTTGTCGACATAAACAAAACTCCGTTGCCAGGTGTTAAATCACATTAGTCGACTACAATATTCAGAGGAGGTTAGCTCTGTCCCTTGCCTCTCTCTCTCTCTCTCCCTTATGCATTGCGTTTTACTTTGAGCTTATTCCTTAATGACATCAGCCCAGAGTTGATCAGAGAGAGGTGCCAGCCATTAACATTAATTTCCATTAATTCATAATGGAAAACACATGAACCCCGGTGAAACTGCAGCATCAGAGAGAGTATTCAAATCCACAGCAGGGCTTATAAGGTCCCCTCCAGGCCCTGGCACCCACCAAACCTCTCGGAACTCCGGTCCCTTCCAGAGTTCCAGTAATGGAGGTGTTTTCCAGATTTGACCATCAGCGCTCTCCTACCCTCCAGGCCTTCCTATGGCTGGAACACTCTTGACCCTGTTAACATCTACGCACCCTTCAGGACCTAAATTTAAAGTGCTGCTTCCTCAAAAACATCATCCTCGCCAGCCTCCATCAAAGTCCACAGGCCCTCTACTCTTCCTCTGCCAGTGGCACTCACAGCTCCCAAGGGCTGGGTGTGCCCATCTTTCACCTGACATAACACAGAGCACGTGTTCCGAAGGTTTTTGCTGACCAGAACCTACTATCAATCTCAAAATGACCTTATTCTTGACCAGGACACTGGTCAAAGCATGCCTGACGCGGGACGGAAGCGTCAATCGTTCTATTCTTTGAGAGACGCTTCGTCCGTACAAGCCAGGGGACGGACAGCGAGGAAACGTTCCCTCGCCCGGGGCAGGCCTCGGGCCCTGACCAAGGATAGATCCAGACTCAGCACCCACCCTGCCCCGGTACCTGGCTCTCTTCGAGGACCCAAGCAGCTGCGGGAGCCAGCAAAAAGCCAAGAAGACGGAAAGGATGACCCTCTCTGCGGTCAGCCCCACGGAGCAAGGCAGCAAGACCTCCCTCAACACTCGCGCGGCGCCATAAATGCAGCATCACGGCGCTCACAACCCGGCGATTTATCCACAGCGGCCGTCCCAGCACTTCCGGCCGGGCTTCACAGCGCGTCCCAAAGACGTCACCCTCAGGTTGACCAATCCTGTGGCTCATTTGCTTTAAGGGGGTCGGCGCGTTTCTATACGTCATAGGCGAGCTAACCAATCCCCCAGCGACAGACCTATCAGCCTGCCCATTGTCCTGCCTTTCGCCCCTTTTCTCGTACAGTCCCAAAGATTTTGGAAGCGCGCTGCTGAGTCACGGTGAAGCAGCTCTACGCAGGCTCAGCAAGGCCTCTGTGAGCGAGGAAACTGAGTCAAAGTCCCGTCCCCGCGGAGTCACAGCGTGCCTCTCAAGGGATCTCCGGGGACAGAGCAGCCACAGGCGCCCAGGAAGAGAGGCGGGTGGGGAGACCTCCGCTTTGGGTTGCTTAGGGGGTGAGAGCTGCTGTTATGGACCCTCCTGACTTAGAGTCGCTTACAGAGAAAAGTGTCTGTGTGCCCTAAACTGGCCTCTTCGCACCCTCACACCCGCCACGTGCATCTTCTGTTCCTCGAAGTTTCCATGAGACTTCTTTAAATTGCCTTTCGCGACTTATTCCCTGTAGACTTTCTCCTCCTCCCAGGTCCTCTGGGTGAAGGAAAGCCTCTCTTAGACTTAACTGCCAAACTTTTTTTTTTAAGAGTCACAGACCCAAGTGGCCTTTGTATAGTAACTAGCCACAGGAGACAGGAATCCAGCATGAAGTTCTAGAGAAGACACATTTGCTGAGGAAGACCTTGCCCTGACTGCAGCTGCACTGCCTTCCTTCCCCCCCAAAATCCTCCAGCCCCTGTATAGGAGGAGAGAGAGCTTGGAGGAGTTAGAACCTCTGTCCTCTTCAGGGCCAGCCTTGAGTGAACTTGCCTCCCTACCAGCAGCTTGTCTCCTGGATGTTGACTTTAGCACCAACAAACACTGTACAGGTAGACTTGATTCAGGAACGCTTCTGGTGAGTTGTTCCCAATAGAAATTCATGGTTATGGGCCTCTCTCAACACAACAGTTTGGTCAACTGATCCATTGTTAACCTTGTGTGTGTTTTATGAAGCACACCTTATTGATGCATATGGTTGATTTGTAAACACTGAATTCATGGTCAATACTGCCATCACATGAACCTGCAGTCCAGTCACTGGGGAAGGGATCCCCTCTCTAGTGAAAGAGATGCCTTTTGGGCTGTAACTCTTCCAGAAGATGTTTTTTGTAGCACTTGGAAATAGTGGCCCTCTTGGTAACAAGAGGGTCAAGCTTAATGACCATGTTCAAGCACAGAGATACAACAAAAAGGAAGGATCCAGGCTGTTGAAGACATTGTTTAGCTGTTAACCAATTTCACTGTCTCTGGATTTATTGTGAGATAACCTGTGTCCTTAGTGTTCCAGGACTTGTTGTCTATTATTTGTAACCAGAAACATTCTTACTAGTAAGTGGGGAATGTTTCAATTTGACATACCACATATGAGACAAATGAGAATAGTTGGAAAATAATTGGATTCATGAATGTGTAGCTCAGATAAAAAGATCTGCACTTAAGAAATACAGTCACAAGTCATTGACAGAAATATGAAATTGTACCGCAAGTGTTCATGAGATTGCCCATAGAAAGGATACGATGTGGAGAAGAGAGCCCAGGCCCTTAACTGTGGGGAAATCCAGTATGTAAAGATCAAAGAAAGATAAATTGGCTTAGTCAGTGGAGACTGAGTAATCAAAGAACTGAGGAGGGGAGGAGTCCCTGTTTCTCAGGAGTGGAAGCCAGGGAAGAGAGAGCTTTCAAGAGGGAGAAGTGATGAATTGCCCAGAGCAAGGTGGAGATGATTCATTGGATTTAGGTAGGGAGGACATCAGTGCCTGGAGAATGGTCCCAGAGTCAGCGACAAGAGTCAGACTGAAATGAGGGGAGCCTGAGTGTGAGATGGGGAGATGTAGCCTAGCGGAAGACACCAGGCATAACTGCACACCTGAAGAAAGATGATGAGTATGTGTCCCCACCCAGTCTGGGTAAACAGGCGACTTCCCACTGACCACTTACCATAGGACACTCTGTTCTGCTTGGACACATAGTCAATATTACCTTTACATTTATAATTCATACGCTCCACAAATATTTATTGAGTGGCTGCTATGTGCACAGCACTCTGTTAGTCCTCAAGAAAATAAAAAGAGATTATGCTGGGCCCCTCTCTCCCAGGAGCGTGCCTTGTTCTTGGAAGAAAAAAGGCCTGAAACAACTGGCCAGTAAATGTTAACATTGTTTTTATGAGGTTGCAGGGCAGAGGCTGTCATTGTTATAAGACTCAGAGAATAAATTTCCCAAAGCAGTCCTGAAGAAGTTGGGTGGAGTGTCTAGGGCTACACAGAGGAGGATGGACCCGGTGGGCTTTGAATACAGGGACTTATACTGAGTAAGGGGCTCAGGGAGACTTTGTATGTACACCAAGACTTGTATGTGACAAGAACCCAAGATCAGATTTTTCCAAAAGGGGAATAGTGGCTCCCAAATTTAAGAAGTGCCTGGATCCAGGAACCCAAATAAGGTCCTCACCATCCTGAATGCTGACCTCTGACTGCTGCAGAACAGCCCTCCATATATGGGGAAGTGGATGCCTACAACCTGAGGTATAGCCATGAGAAGGTAGTATCTCCCCAGCACCTGTCTCAAATCCGTGGATGGACTCTGATGACTTTCTTGAGCTGTTTCTTTAGTTAGTTAATTTGTTTGTTGAGACAGGTTCTCACTGTGTCACCTAGGCTTGCCCCAAACTCATGAGCCACATTATTTAGGCTTCCCAAGTGCTGTAATTATAGGTGTGTGCCACCACACAGACTTGAGCCATGATTGCCTTAATTGGTACAGTATATTTTGAGAGTGGAAATGGGCGCTATTAATTTATTAGAATAATAGGCACAAGCTAGGGCTCTTCTGGGAAAGCAGGACATAATGTCACTGTAACCACAAATTCATTTGATGTTGGGCACTGATACTGGCCCAACCAGGGTCACATAAAATGAACAGTTGAAGGAGAATCAGGAATGCGGGAGTAACAAAATTAACAGATACCCACTATCAGTAGTGAGTTGGTGATTTAAGGAAAGAGTGAGGGGAAAAAAATAAAGAATAAAGCACAAAATCTAAGGTCAAGTTAAGACCTAGAATGTCAGAGAAATTTGAGTTGCGTTTAATTTGTAATGGAGATGGATTATTGTATAAGGCTGGTGTTGGGAGAGACAAGTCTGGGAGTGAGTTGTGGATGAAAGGGGAAGGTTTGGAGGATTTAAGACTATCAGCACAGGTCTAAGTATTCAGGGTACTGGTGAGATGAAGGTGAAAAGGAAGGACAATATTTAGAAAGAGTTGGAAAACTAATCAATAGAACTTGTCATCTGACTGGGTCTGAAGGACAGAGCAGAGTGGGGCAAGTGGAGTATTAGGCCTGGAGACCAGAACAGACAAGGGTAGGGAGATGTTATGCTTTGGATATAGAATGTCCCACAAAGCCTCATGTGCTCAGAGGTGAGGCTCTTAGAAAGTGATTGGATCATGGGTGCCACACTCATTTGTAGATTAATCTGCAGATGAATTCAGAGCTGAATGTGTTATTACAAGGTGGAGCCTGGTTGGAAGTAGGTTACTAGAGTGTGACCTGGAAGAGTTTATGTCTCTCCTCAGCTCCTCCTTTCTCTCTCTGCTTCCTGGCCACCATGAGGTAAGCAGCTGCCCTCAGCTCAGGGCCTTTCACCATACCTTTTCTACCTTGCAGCAAGCCAACTATGGACTGAAACCTCTAAAACTATGAGCCACAATAAACCTCTGCTCCCTTAAGTTGTGGGTATCAGATATTGTGTGATATCTCAGATATCTGAGAAAAGTGGCTGAGACAGGAGGTGACCAAGGGTAGTATTCAGGAGATGATGTCACTTTGAGCTCATGTTGAATTTTGGAGAAGTCATATGAAAAGAGAAAAACAGAACTAGAAATGGAATAAGTTAAAACTGAGGTGATGGATAAGGTCTCCAAGAAAGACATTATGACACAGGCAGACTGGAACCTGAGGATGCCTGCAGATGTGGGAGGGGAGGAAGAGAAGTCAGAAAAAAAGATCCAAACAGAGATAGGTAGGCAGGGCAGTGACCAACCATGGTCAGTTCTGTGCTGAACTTGTGAGAGAATAGGACAGAAAATCATTCAAGACATTTAACTAGAGGAAATGTATTACCTTTGGAAGAGTCATTTCCTTCCAGTGGTGTATTGCTCAGGATAGACTGTGTCACAGCAGTTGAAAACAACAAAGGTCAACTGTAACTCTGACTCCATGACTGTGATCTGCAGGTGGGCTTAGTTCTGCGTCATCCTTTCCTCCAAGGCCTGGGACAATGGAGAAGCCACTCTTGGGAACATCACCAGCTGCTGTGGCTCTGGAGGCCTCACACCAGCAATGATAACCAAAGCCTGGGGCTTCTGTATGTGGCTTCTGCTCCCAGTTCATTGGCCACAGCCAGTCACGTGGCCCGATGAGACAGGGTCTGACTATGTAGTTCAAACTGGCCTTGAACACTTGTTGATCCTCCTGCCTCGGCCTCCCAAGTGCAGGGATTATAGGCATGTGCTACCATGCCCAGCTCAGAGATACTTTTTGAACAGTAAAAATGCCTACCACATATTGTAGCAGTAAAAGTCAGATTTAGGCTGGAGGAAGATAAATGGTAGAATGTGCCTGACTCATGTTCCCTCACGGTATATACTATCTCGGGTTATTGTTCTTGGAATTAGACATAGGCTCCTGAGAGTGAGGACCATGCTTTGGAACTCTGTATGATGCTTACGTACGTCTGCAAAAATAGGTGGCCTTGGGGCTCTATCACAGATCTCAGGGAAACAGTAAGACAGCAAGTGTCTTAGGCAACCTCCTGGTGAAGCAGTGTGTCTTTATATTCTGAGTAGCCATTCTAGATGCCTGCAGATTAAGGCCCATAATGTAAGGGCAATCACAGACTTGGGTTGATTCCTTCCTAGAGCCCATACTGAAGCACTCATTTTCAGAT